TATCAAAAGAATGAAGACCTAGGTACTGAGGGATGAAGGGAAGGTTGAGCCAGGAATGGTGGGACACCTGTAATTTTTACACTTGGGAACTAAGATGGGAAGATGGTGAATACCAGGCTGGCCTGGGCTACATAGGGCACCAACCAGAACCTGACTTGAAGGAGAAGGGAAGCAATGAGGAAGAGGCAGCAGCTGGTGCTCCAAGGCCAGGGAAAGAAGCAGGCTGCTGCAGGTAAGGGCTCTCCTGAAAGCAGAGCGGTTTCCAGACTGGCCTTAATGGCCCCCATGCCCACTGTGATAGCATCCCCCAGCGTATTCGCATATCAACAGAGCCATCAATGCAGGCAGTGGAGGCCAAGCGTGGCCAATGAGGGCAGAGCGTTCAGGGGCTCAAAGTTGACCAGGGAGAAGCACAGCAGCCAATACTAGCAGACCTACAGGAGGGTGGACTCAAACTGCCCCATCAAACCAAACCAGCAAATAAGACATCCTCCCCCACGTTTGAGATTAGTGCCCATGGCTGTCACACCATTAACTTTAAATTTCCAGTATGCAAACAAGCAGGTAAATGTAGTCCCTACATGGAGGGGAAACAACAACAATAGAAAAGAAACAGTATTTGTGAAGAGATATTAGATTAAGCAGGGAGACAAACAAACAAAACAACTAAAGGAAACAAAGAAAGATATAAAGAACTAACAGAGGTACCGGGTATCATCTCACCCAGTGGAAGAGCATTCCTAAAGGGAGAGCAATCGCTGAGAAGCAGGAGAGTCTGGAGCCAGGCTGTGTGTGAAATAAAACTCATTATCTGCACTCAATAAGAGACCTGAGCTAACAGAAGGGCAGTGAACTTCAAGACATTTGCATGGACATTGTGCTGCCTGAAGAAGGAAACTAACAGGGCCTCTAAGAAACACAGGTAATACCAAGTGCAGCAGCACAGACATACAGGGCATTCTGAGGAGAAGGAAAGAGAAAGGGGAACAGGAAAGGGCCTCAGAGATTATGACCACAGAATCCAAACAGACATGCCAACCCGAGAAGCCCCATGACCTCCAAGTACAAAACACAGATCCCAATACCTCAACAACTACGGCCGAATGCCAGAGACAAAGCAGCAGGAGAAAAATGATGTCACTTACAGGGGACCCCCAGTAAGATGAGCCACTCACTGACTCTCACCAGACACAATGCAGTTCCGAAGGCAGAGGACAGCATTCAAAGTGCTGAAAAGAAAAACAATCATCAGCCAGGAGTCAGCGCCTACTTGAGGAGAAAACAAAGCCCCTAGGTAAGCAAGAACTAGGGAGATTGTTGCTTTCCACATGGAAAACAAGTGAGGTCAGAAGATGAGTGAGTGGTTCTCATGTGTGATTCTAACACTGGGGGAGTGGGGACGTGGAGATCCACGATGGCATTGGACTGCATTGAAAAATCTGTTTCAAGGAAAAAACACTCCCTCCACACACAAAAAGAAAATAAACAAAACTACAAGAATACAAGCACACAGATACACACCCTTCTTGTCTTAGCTAGCTTATAAAGGAACTGCAGAAAAGCAATATGTCATAGTACCACCTGGGGTGTCTTAACATGCCTTTCGTGACACAGTCTCCAAGACAACACAGTAGCAGAGCGATGCCTGAGGTGGTAACTCAAACCCACAGAGAGAAGAGAGGGTAGCCAAACTTGTAAAGAAGCTTGACACAGTAGCTAACTTCTCCTTTCTCTCCGCCTTCTTTGAAAGGAGTAAAATCTAAACAGAGTACCAATAGCTACATCATAAACAAAATACAAACATAGTCCTCACACCAGCAAGAGAGGAGGAGGAATTACCCAAGACTTTCTATATCTCACCTAAATGAAGTCAGTACAAATCAAAAGGGCTCTGGTAAATTAAGGGCTCTGTAAGCCTCAGAGGAAAATAAATAAATAAAAATAAAAAAGCTGCCGGGCGTTGGTGGCGCACGCCTTTAATCCCAGCACTCGGGAGGCAGAGGCAGGCGAATCTCTGTGAGTTCGAGACCAGCCTGGACTACCAAGCGAGTTCCAGGACAGCCTCCAAAGCCACAGAGAAACCCTGTCTCGAAAAACCAAAAAAAATAAAAAATAAAAAAATAAAAAAGCTATCAATATATAGTTAAAAATCACTAAAGGAATTAAAACACCACACTATTAAAATAGTCACTTAATAAAAAAAAACTGTCTTAGAGTTAAAAGAACAGGAACACACAAGAGACAAAAAAATTAACATAGATTAAAACATTAATCCAACATTAATCTGATAACAGGGCAGAAAATGCTTTGATTTTTAGCACTACATTCATCTGTTTGTGTGAGTGCAATGGTGTGTACATGGAGGTCAGAGGTCAGTATGTGAGAGTTGGTTTTTCCTTTCCACCACGTGGGTCTGAGGATACACCTCAGGTCTCCAGGCCCAAGAGCAACCACCTAATAATAACCAACCTAACCATCTCACTGGCCTTGTGTTTTCTTATTTTGTTTTGAAACGAGATCTTGCTACGTAGCCCAAGATGGCCTTGAACTTGCCATCTGCCTGCTGTTCAAAGCATTAACCACCGGTGATCCACAGAGGACATGCAAATATTAGAATAAGCTGTAAGCCAGAACTGTGGAGTGGGCCGGCGACTCAGCTACTTGGGAAGCTGAGGCAACAAAGCTTCAAGGCCTGCTTGGACTGCAGTTAAGTTCAGTCGAGGCAACTTAGTGAACCCTGTCTCAGAGGGAAAAGCACCAAGAAGGCTGAGAGGTAACTGGGTGGTGGTGCCTTCCCTTCATGAGGCCCCGGGTTCAATCCTGAGCAGGAAGGGAAGCAACAACAAAAAAAGTCTTAGGAGACATTTTATAATGACACAACTACATATGAACCTAACAACTGTTCTAAAATCAGAAATGAAAGGGGAGAAAGGTAATTAACAGATACTGGGACATTTCAATGACAACTTTCAAAATGGATCCAGTTGGGCACATTAAATAATGAGGAAATTGACAGCCACAGGACTACTGTAACAGTGACCCAACAGGTACCAATTTCCCCTCAACAGCGAACACTCTCTTAAACCAACAAGGAGAGTACACTGCAGGAGGACCCCAGAATGAGCTCCACCTCAGAATACCTGAATATGTTCTCGGCAGCTTAGCAGATGATCCCAGAAACCAGCAAAGAGATGTGGGGCTGACAAGTGTGACAGTTGCAGTGCATTCTTAAATAGAAAATGGACTGAAGAAAATTGGGAAACGCTTTAAGATAGAAAAAAGTACAACACAACAGGCCAAAACACACAGGAGGCCAGTTCCCCTTACACAGTGACTTTACAGCTGTTTCAAAGTACGATCAGTAGCCCTCCACGTTAAGAAACCAGGAGAAAGTGCTAACTATGGCAAAAGCAGGCAGAAAACAAAGCAACCAGAGTGGGGGGTTAGAGTGGAATTAAGTAAACTAGATAAAGAAAAACCAATAAAACCAAAAGTTGGTTCTTTGAAAAGATCAATAAAATCGACACACCTCTAAGTACAGTAGCAAAAACAACGGATGGCGATGGAATGAAAACCAGATTTGGGAAGAAGACAAGGGTTAGTACCAATTGCTCAGGGAAGTAAAAAAGATTACAAAAGAACAAGAAAAATGATGTGCCCTTGCTGGGCAGTGGTGACACACACCTTTAATCCCAGCACTTGGGAGGCAGAGGCAGGCGGATCTCTGTGAGTTTGAGGCCAGTCTGGTTGACAAAGGGAGTTCCAGGAGAGCCAGGACTACACAAAGAAACCTGTATCATATCAGAGAGAGAGAGAGACAGAGAGACAGAGAGACAGAGAGACAGAGAGAGAGAGAGAGAGGAAAGATGATATGCCCACAGCCGTTGAGATGAATCTGAAATGAAGCCACAGTACAGATGAACGAGTAAAGAAAGCAACAGACAATCTAGATGGGCTTAGAACAACAACAGGTCGGGCTGGCACTGTTAGGTCCAGGTCCAGCCAGCCTTGCCAGGTAACTGTACCAAGATTTTAAGGAGGAACTGGCTCAACCCTTCACAAACACTCGGGAACTTACTTCATTGGCCTACTGACCTATATTTAGGATATACTAAAACCAAAGCCATGCAAGAAAAAAAGGACTCCAGATCAAAACTTTTCACGGGTATGGACATAAAAAGAAATCCTCAACATAATATTAACAATGCCATCCAGCAGCTGAGAGGTGACCATAATCAAATGGAATTTAGCTCAACACACAAAGAACCATAAAAACAAGAATAAAAGGCAAAACTCACGCAACCATCTCCACAGACACAACACAGTGCCTGCCAACAGCCAGTGCCATCCAGGACAGCAACACAAACCCCTTCAGCTCACAATAGCAAGGGTTCAGCCATTAATGGCAACTGCGAAAAGACAGACAGTAGCAATAAGGAAAGACAGAAGTCTTCAATGGGACCAAGAGTGGAACACACAAGTCTTCTCTCGTCTCCATCCAGTGAGGGTGATGAGGAGAGACTGGAAAGGAAGCAAACTGCTGTCCCTTCTTGCAGGTGACGTGACCTTTTAGGTGGGCAATCTCAAGAGGTCCAGGCACTGATCCAGAGCTGACAGTTTGTTTAGTGAGGCGGCAGCACCCATCACCAGGGAGAAGCCAGTGTTGTCGCTACAGAGGAGCACTGAACGATTCAAGAGGGAATGGGAATAACAAGTCCATTTGTATCACCAGAAAGAATTAGCTCGTAACAAGTTTAAAGTTTGTAATCTTGAATTTTCTGCATCCTTTCTTCCTTCCTTTGGGTCCACCCCTCCCTTGCAATCGGCAGGTTCTAAATACTCCAGGCTGAGAGAAGCAGAGCTGCGGGTTAAGTGTATCATGCCATGAGCAGGCCATGCTTGGTGAAGCAGCTTGTGAGGTCACATAAGTGCAGACGGGAGTGGTGACGGAGGGACAGGCTGCAGGGGTGAACCGGAGCGAGTGTCTCAGTAGTACATACCCAGGTAGGGCCGCCTGGGGGGGGCTTTGAGTTCTTCACCCTCACTGTCTGTGGCTACATTTAAAGAGAGAGAAACAAAACAGAAAGAAAGGAGACAAAAAACACTGTTTTTAACACTGGTAAGTGAGTATTTCCTAGCAGGGTTGCATTTCTTAAAAAGCACAAACAACAACGAAACAACAAAGACACCAGAGCAGAAGATTTTTGTTTCTTTTGTTCACAAATCTACTTTCTGAGCTATTCTCCAATCTCCTCAGACAGTGCACAGAAGGACGAGGGGGAAATCGCCCCCCTCAAACCTAAGCCAGCAAGTTCTCACTGTTTCTACAGTCAAGGGACACATTAACTACTATGGTGTGACAGGCCCCGACTCTCACGTCCCTAGAAGCTCAGGCAGCCTGGGACTGAGAGCAGTTAATCCGGGGCTGAAATGCTCTTACAGGCTGTGTGGTACAACTATTTTAGAGCTCACTGGCAAAGGGCAGCCAGTGTCACAGTGAATGTGACAAGCGTGCTGCAGAGACATCGTGACAAAGACAGCCGACCTAGACAGATCTCTCACCTGGAACAGTCAGAACATCAGGAAGAATCTACAGTTATGCTTTAACCTCCCTGCTGGCGCTGCTTCAGCTCAACAGCCTAAGGCTCTCCATGCCAGGGCACCTGGGGCAGCTGGCAGACTCTCCCTTTCTGGGATATAAACTGCTGACGTGAGGTCACAGGCTGTGTCCCTGGCAGCACACTGTGGAAGTAAACAACCCAAAGCTAACAGTAGGTGACCTCTTCCCTATGAGGTACTGCAAAACACGAGTGGGGGACCTGCCACCAAATCCGTGGTTTGCAGACCACAGGCGCCATACAAAGTGTAGCCTCCTGGCACCCAGCTATGATTCAAACCAATTTTACTGGTACCTCTTTTAAAGATCAAGACCCACAAATGTAGAACGAGAGAAAGAACATTCTGGAACATCCAGGCACAAAGTGTGGGCAGAGCAAAGGCACAGTGGTGGTGGCCCAGGATGGAGAGGTACAGGACGTGTAATGCCCCCTGGCCTCCTAGTTTCATAGCCAAACAGGCTTAGAGTTGAAAACTGCTGTTTACAGGGCAGACAGGACAAAGCACCATGCTGAGAAGAACATGTGCATTGGCAGCCATCAAGCATCTCTACAGATTTCTTCCATTCTCCACAGGCGCTGGGGATCTGGAGCCCCAGAAGTGGCTGGATGCTCATCAGGCAGTGTAGCTCATGTCTTACCCTTGAGTGACTGCGAGTGTGTGTGTGTGTGTGTGTGTGACTGTGTGTGTGTGTGTGTGACTGACTGTGTGTGTGTGTGTGAGTGTGTGTGTGTGACTGTGTGACTGTGTGTGTGTGACTGTGTGTGTGTGTGAGTGTGTGTGTGTGTGACTGTGTGTGTGTGTGAGTGTGTGTGTGTGACTGTGTGTGTGTGACTGTGTGTGTGTGTGAGTGTGTGTGTGTGTGTGACTGTGTGTGTGTGTGTGACTGTGTGACTGTGTGTGTGTGAGACTGTGTGACTGTGTGTGTGTGTGTGTGAGACTGTGTGACTGTGTGTGTGTGTGTGACTGTGTGACTGTGTGTGTGTGTGTGTGAGTGTGTGTGTGTGTGTGACTGTGTGACTGTGTGTGTGTGACTGTGTGTGTGACTGTGTGTGTGTGTGTGACTGTGTGTGTGTGTGTGTGAGACTGTGTGACTGTGTGTGTGTGTGTGTGTGTGTGTGTGAGACTGTGTGACTGTGTGTGTGTGTGTGACTGTGTGACTGTGTGTGTGTGTGTGTATGCGTGTGCGCTTGTGTGCACAGGTGCGCACATCCTTTCCAATCCTCAGATGCCACGTGACTTCCAAGGCCAGATTGCAAGAAAGACACAGCCCAGATCCTTCTTTCCCTACTTCAGTTTTAGGGTAACCTGAATATGAGGCCCAGGGCTCATGTGGGAAGTCTTAAGTGTTCAGCTGACACATACGCCCCACTTCCCAAGACTCAGGAAGGCAGGTCTGCACAGCAGGACCACCATGTGCGAGCAGGCTGTGGACAATGGCTGCAGGTGGGATGGATGGAGAGGGCAGCTCAGGCGACAAATCAAGGCCAGCCGGTTTAGAGCTGGGTGAGATGCTCGCTCAACACACAAGTTCCTGCTGTGACTCTCACATAGCACTCCATAAAATGCATCCAGTAAGGTCGACAGCTCACTGGCTCCTGAACACCCAGAGGGGCAATCATCATGACCACCAATTTAGAGCATTTTCATCACAAGGAAAGAAAGCTTTACCCATAAGTAGACACTACCCTAGAAAGTCCCAACCTGGAGTTCTGAACACTCGGAGTTGAGACAAATAAATCCAACCACCTGACTCGGAGGCACTATTTTGTCAAGTAACTACTAACATAAATTTTAAATGAAAACTACAGTATAAAATAAAATTTAAATTAAAAGAAAAAACAGAAGTTAGAAACAAATGACTCAAATGGACACATGCAGTTGGTGGAGCATCTGGTTAAAGACACTGCTCACAGTGACTCTGAGGCTCATCTCTGCCTCAGTGTGGCCTAAGATCACTGAACCCTGAGTGTATAACCCTCCAATCCACCCATTGTTCCAGCAACCACTTTGCTGGCGTCATTGTTCTCGCTTATGAAAACAGTATGGGCTACGGCCCACATCCCATAATACTTTGGGTTCCTAAGAAACACAGTCGGGACACAGGTGGTAGAGAGCACAGCCGTGTCTGAAGCGCAGCTCGCCTCATCGCAAGGGCTCAGGAGGAAGAGTCTGCGCAGTAATGGGGGGCTCCTTCCCCAAAAGGCACCTCCCACCTCGACCTACTGAAAAAGCCAGATGACAGCCGTGGCCTGTGCCAGCGATAACCAATACAAGAGCTCGGCTAAGACATGATCTGCTGTAGCCCAGAGCAGAGAGGGTGTGGAGACTCCTGCAGAGATGGAGCAAGGTTCCAAAGACCCACTGGCCAGAATAAGTGGGCATCAGCAAGTATAAGAAAAGCAGCCAAGTAGAACACACCGTGCCACCCACCAGCTTTGAATTCACACTTCAGCGTGATGTACAGGCATCAGGGCAGCTTCCAGGAAGTCAGTGGTGAAAACTGAGGGAGCCCTCCACTTCCGCCACAAATCAACCCTGGCAGCTCAGTGAGTGGGCATGGAGCCTCTGACCAGAGGTGCTCTAGCTGACAGAGGAACAAACACTATGCAGTCCTCAAGGATAAAGGATAAAGGATCCCCTCAGGTGCCAACAATCCTGACAACAGTGTGTTCTTAAAACCCACAAAGACATCTTAAGGCCAAGCAACCTCTGGGTCCAGCAAAGTAGACACGAAGTCCTGAAAATGAGAACTAGACTCTAAAAATGCTAAAGATGCAAATATCAATAATTACCTGCCCAGGTATGGTGAGCATACCTTTAGCTCCAGCACTCAGGAGACAGAGGCAGGAGGATCTCTGTGAGTTTGAGGCCAGCCTGGTTTATATGGTGAGTTCTAGGACAGCCAAGACCCTATCTCAGCAAACAGAGATAACAACAACAGCAAAAATAATTCTCGATGGTCGTTGCTGGCACATGCCTTTAATCCCAGGACTCGGGAGGCAGAAGCAGTCGAATCTCTATGAGTTCAAGGCCAACCTGGTCTACAGAGGGAGTATCAGGACAGGCTCCAAAGCTACAGAGAAACCCCGTCTCAAAAACAATAATAACAATTATAATAATTGTAATCAGGCAAGCACCGCTGTCCCTGCCGTGGCTGAGAGGTCTGAGGCCCAGTAACTCTCAGGTTCATGAGGTGGGTCCTGCTCTAGTCCTTGAAATTAGAAGCCACAAAGGAGACCCAGAATAATTATCTTCCTCATGGTCCCTGTGTTAATCACATCTGCAGAGGCCCTTCCTAAATTAGGGGACATCCCTGGGGCCAATATTATGCCCATAATGGGCCCCTGATAAAAATTCATATCTCAGCCAGGTGGTGGTAGTGTACATCTTTAATCACAGCATTTGGGAGGCAGAGGCAGGCGGATCTCTGTGAGTTCGAGACCAGCCTGGTCTACAAGAGCTAGATCCAGGACAGCCTCCAAAGCCACAGAGAAACCCTGTCTCAAAAAACAAAACAAAACAAAAAAAATTCATCTCAGTCCTAGCCCTAAAAACTTCAGTTCACTATTTTAACTCAAATAGCGGTAACCTAGTTACCAAAATATTGCCTTGGAAATTTTACATAGAACAACACGGAAGAGAACAGTTGGGACTCCACTGCCCACGTGCTTTCTGGTCTAGACTGTCCTGTTGCATGACACTCCCAACCCTGGTATGCTCTCAAGCTCCCTGCACTCACCGTCAGTCACCTGAGGTGAAGGGACAAGTACAATGTGATTCTGAGTAAATAAAAGCCACGTTCCAAGTCAGCCGCACTGCCTACGGTGCAAACCTTCTATAGCTATCATCTGACATGGGTCACCAGCAGAGCCAATACACATGGCAATCCAAGCCACAAACCTGTCCTTGCGCTTGCAGGCCAGAGCAAGCCTCTGGAGTCCCAGAAATACCTCTCTCCTCAGGCTTCTTTCTGCCTTCCCACATGCAAGCATGGCGAGGGACCCACCATCCTGCAGCCATGACGACATCTGTTTCAAGGGGATGCTGAGGCTCAGAGGGGCTCAGATTTTGCTGTATGGAAACTTGGAGCATAAAGAAGTGGGGCAGGCAGGTCATGCTTCTAAGAAGCAAGCCCATGCACGGAACCATGTAGGGACATGAAGCCTCGGGTCCTACATGATATCCTGTCTTCTCTCTAGTAGGGTTCCCAATATTATCAGCACCAGCTCTGGTGTCCTAACAAAAGTCACACCAGGAGGATGGGGAATAGATGCCCAGGGGACATTAGAGATGGTATCAGTGGGAAGAACAGATTAGAACACGTGAGAAGATGGATGTGAGCTACCATCCTTATAGGCTTCTCCCCCCCTAAACCAGATGTGTCCACTTTCTGCGAAGATAAGGGATGGCATCATCCGTTTTACTAAAGACAGGTAGAAACAGTAGGAGCCTGATAAAGGGGAAAAATAATCATCAGAAATAAAAATACAGAGACACCACCTCCACAGCAGCCCCCAAGCTAAACACTGAGCCAAATACTTCTAAAAGCAAGATTAACATACTCAGACAAATTCTAAGAGAGAGCTGTACTAATTCACTAGTGGAAAAGATAAAAGAAGGCTTTTGCTGGGTCTGGTGGTTGTGAGCCTATATTCCTAGAACTGAAGAGGCTGCGACAAGAGGATTGAGAGTTTACAGCCAACCTGAGTTATGGAAAGAGAACTAGTCTTGGAGAAAGGAAAAAGAGAAAGGAGGAGAAAGAGGAGGGGAATTAGGAGGAGGAGTCAAAATTTAATTCTCCTGCATTCAAGATGCCCACCAGCCTACACTTACTATGGAGTGCCTATCAGAAATCATTTATGAGGGAAAGGCCAAACACAGCAAGTATTTTGTGTCTTCCGAGCTGCCCAAGGTCAAGGAGTGTCTTGTGCTTAGCAGGTGATGGGTCTCACCCTGTCCTCAGACCACAGAACACACAGACCCTGGGTGTGTTATACCTTAGGTGGGTGACTGTGCTGTGTGGGACATGCCTACCAGGCATACTGATGGGGTTTGATTCACTTGGAAGCTGCATGCAGACATGACTCTTGTTTCTTCAGTTCTTTGGTGACAAAAGGCAGTCAGGACATGAACAAAAGGTCCAGGAAGAGTTAAAACCTCACCTAGATTACAGGAAAGAGATTCTTATCTAATTGTTTCAAACTGTGAAATGTTCAGTCTTTTACAATATGGAAAATACTACTGATGATTACAGATACTCTTCATCTAGTGAAACAAAAGCTGCCTCAATAATACCGAAGTGGGTTTTTTGACTTCCAAGAGCTAAGTTTTGTCTTTTAACTAAGCAAGACTTTGCAGGAGACATCACACACCCACCTGAGAAGGAGCGCCGCTTAATGTTCAACTCGTTGGCCACTCGGACCTCGGTGCAGAGTTTCAGCATCAGCAGCATGGTCAGGATCATCACTATGCTCTGCCACAGGAGCGGGGACTCGAAGTGCCTTCCGAACCTAGGGGAGGGCAACAGAGCCTGCATCAGGAAGGGAGCAGACACCAGCCCTGCCGGCGCCCCACAGCCCTTCCTCAACCAGAGCCTGAGCTGCAAGCTGGGAAGTCTGGGGAGGAACTGGTGGTGTCACAGCCCTAGCACTCGCTGCCGATTCTCCTGGGGTCCCTGTGGATGGGGAAGGATCAAGGTACCCAGGTCAGACTCAGCAGGAGACCTGGAACTCCGTGCCCAAATGAGGCTCTCCCAAAGCCCCATCTTCCCTCTTCCCTCCATAGACTCTGTGACCCAGTCACAGACTCCCACCCAGGGCCACTTATTGATATGAGAGGTCCCTACTTAACTACCTTCGTGTCAAAACCTAACCCTAACCAAGCAAGACACTTTCTCCAGACCACATTAGCTCTGCTTCCTGCCTAGAGAGGAAATGTCTGTGAAGATATGTAGCCTAGTGCCAAATTTCCATATGCATCCTCCACTAAGAAGAGAAGGCAGCCAAGGTTATCCCACCAAAGATCATTCCTCCACCCCAGCCCTCCTAGCCCAGGGCCACCTTCTCTTCCTAGTTATCCACACCACACCCCCAGCCACCCTAGTAGCTTCTGCTAGTGCTGAATAGCCATTCGTTTTGGAGGGCAAAAGTGCAATTCAGCAACCAACACCCTTGGCAGAACAGAATTCCATCAGGCTGTGACATAGAGACAAGCCCACACAGCTCCCCTTCCAAAGGCAGGCCCCAACCCAGTCTTAACCCCACCGCTGCAAAGCACAAAAATGCAGGCTAGAATTGGCCTGAGTTTGTTTGGCTTGAAAGTTATTTCCAAGACCTTAATTGGTGGTTAGCACCTGAAATTCAGGAGATTCTACAGCAGTCCCACAACTCCTGAAAACTGTGAGACGCAGCAACAGTGCCAGCCTTTCTCTTCCCCTTGGCTCCTCACTCCACTGGTCTCCTGGGACAGGAGTAACCTCCAGGCCTGAAGAGGGCAGCCAGGAAAACTTGTTAATGCAGCTCGCACACCCATATACAAGAGGGACATGGGGAAACGGTATACATCCTATCACATCATCCATGTGGCTACTACTATGCCAAGAACTTGCTAAAAAATCAATCCACAAATGAAAACCAAAGCATATTTCATATGCTGGGTTTATGGTACACTCCCATAGGCCCACGCTTGGGAGACTGAAGCAAGAGAATCATAAGGTTGTGGCTAACTTGGACAGGTCTGACAGCAGTAAATTATTTACAGAATGAAAGCATTTCACAAAACTCTGCATGCAGTGACAACAATTTATAAAAGACCAGCTGGAGACAGGGAGACAACCTTGCCTGTATCTCAAAGACTGTGTCCCCAGGCCTGTGTGTTCCATAAGGAAAGGCTGTCCCATAATGCACAGCACACAAACCCTTTAATTGACCCAAAAGCCACCTTCAGTTCCTGAAAGTTGTGCCTACAAACAATTCCCGGTCAGAGAGAATTCTAACCGGCTTGAGGGTCTTTAGAGAGCTCTGGACAATCCCTAAGTAACTTCCCGTGGGCTGTGCTACGGCCTAAGTAAGCAGAGCCAGCAGGAAGGTATTACACAAGGGAGGACATGCTGTAGAGAGGCTCCCCTCAGCAATGGGTCACGTCTCAGTTTCCAGTGGGGTGGGGAGCCAAGACTGTACCTTCCGAGTCCAGGACAAGTCTGCTGTGCAGGTTTCAAGGCCCAAATGCCCCCTGGGAGTTCAGAAGCTCCACAGACTGCCTGAAGCAGCTGCCTGAGGTCAGGAGAGCTTAGAGAACGGACAGGAAGACAAAGAAAAGGGACAACCTAGGCACAGAGTGGATATGAAGCTGGCACAGGCAGACGAGCTCTTAGGATCTGTCCCAGGGTCCTGTGATTACCACACTGCCCCCAGATCTGTGCATCTGTGACCCACCATCTCGGAGACTTGGTATTTTCACTTGAAAAGTGTAAATCATAAACTTAGAGTTATTGGGAGGTAGGCCAAGCCCTCAGTCACTTCTAGGAACTGTTCTTCCTCATTGGCTATCTAGCTGACAATTTGCTCACAGAGGATTATGTGGGGAGGTAACATGGGAAGGTGTCACTTCAGGGTCACACAAGGCTGAAGGCACAGTTTCCCAAACAAATTGACAGTGGCTACTAGAAAGACGACAGAGAAAGAGGTCCAGGTTTAAGCTTCCATGTGCCACATCAGAGTCAGTCCTAATAAGCTGGATGGTCACAGGAGAGGAAGGGGACCACTTAACAGAGTGCCAGCAAGCAGAGCGGAGGATTTGGCTGGCTGGGAAGGGAGCAGAAACAGGACACACGCAAACTTTCAAAAAGCATAACTCCGAAAGGCATAAGCAACAAAATAAATAGGAAACAACATTTAACATCATCAAGTTTTACAGATATAGGAAGGTGCCATTTCTCACCAAAACAATGTCAACCGCGTCCTACTGAGTATATCTAAGAGTGTTGTTCCTCTCCTGGTTAAGACTGTGGGTTAGCAGAACTCATCTACAGGCAAGTGGTGATTGCTATCACACTGCTCTGGATGGTGAGTCCAAAGACTCTCATAGGAATAAAGGCTGGTACTCATCGTGGGGAGACGTGTGCTAGATCGGGGTGCACAAGGCTGACCAAGTTCAGCAACTGGTTCTTTGGACAACTCCAAGCCCCAAAGTAACAGCAATACGCCTCTGGAGGAGGTTAGATATCTCTATCGCTACTCCCTACATATCAAAGGAAACTTATCACCATAGTAGCAGAATGTTACCACCTCTCAGATACAATGTTTCATGATCACAGCCAAGACCTGCGGCCAGCAGTGGTGAGGACGGAACACCGCCATCCTCAGATCTACCAGGACTGGAGAACTTTGCTCAAGTAGAACCTGGGCACCAGTGCTGCCCTTCTCCACTTCTATTACAAGCATTGCAAACAGTAGATAAAGGGATCACTTGGTCCTAGCCTCTAACATCAAAAATGCAAAATCCTGTAACCCACATTTCATTGAGAACAGTCTGCTAAAGGTGATGAGGATTCTAAGAAATAAAGGCTTGAGAGTTCCCCGAGCTTCAGAATCCCTGTTAGTACAGTTGGATAAGTCTCTTCCTAAAGGACTATCCGATCTAAAAACAAAAACACAAACAAAAATACCGTGCCCCAAACCTCCAGTGAGTCCTGAGGTCTGTGTCCCAGTGAGTGCTGGAAAACAGCTGACGGTACTAACTCTTTCATAGTTTGGAAGGCTCCCCTGTCATCTGGAGTCTGCCACACTCAGGACCTGCTCTCCACCTCGGGGGTGGGGGGAGAGCTGCATAAACAGGGAAGGGGTGTGTGTTCCCGTGGCTGCTCCACTTAAGCGCAGACGCTGCAGCCTTTGGCGCTGTGAAGTCTGAGAGGATGCTGAACTGAGAATCCTTGAGAGGGATGCCAAGCCTGGGGCTACAGAAGGCTGTGAAGAAGCCCAGAAGAGCCCCCACAGCACCTTGGAGCATCAGTGTCTACAGACGGGCAGCAGTGTCCAGACACTGTTCAGACTTCTGACTTTCATAAGTGAGGATCGGGGAAGATACTTCCCAGATGGAAACGGTCAGGAGAGCCAGGGAGCTCAGCCCCTCCCTTCCTCACAGTCTTCTAGAATGCCCTGGGTGGGCTTCCTACTAAAGACATCATTTGGCCTCCACAGAAGGCAGCCAGGCCTCCCACAATGAAAAGTATCCCAGGTCTTCCCAGAGGGTCCAGCACAAAGGCAAGGGGATCAGTCCCAGTGTCCCTCTCCATTAGGGCACACAAGGAAAGTGGCCTGGCTTCTGATTGCTCCAAACCACGTCAGTAGTCAAAACTTAGGCAGTACTTGGAGAAAATTTATTCCTGAAACCAAAATGTGAATATCCTGTCCCTACATAAGCTGAACAGTGAGGCCAGGCTACAATGGGCAGCCTGCCTGACAACAAGGCTCCATCCTGCACACACGGAGCACCGAAAAGTATGAGCACGGCTGTATTGAAGGGTCTGCTTCCGTTCAACCTTTGATGTAATTAAGCTGCTTCACTGCACCCAGTCACAGTAACAGCCCAACTGGGGACCTCAACCTTCGTCTCAGGGGGAAACAAGGGGAAGGAATCTTCGAAATGTAATTTCCCTGCTTTTTAAAAACAAAAGTGAGAATTCAATGACCCTTTCCTTAGAAGTCACCTGGCCCAAAGACAAAGAGCAAGGTGACATCCTCCAAGATTGCTACAATGACCAACTTATGCCAGTTCAGAGTCAGCTGACCTCCTCACAGACCCAGGCAAGAATACACTCCTGGGACACAGGGCACCCAGTGCTGGGACAGAACGCAGAATTGCAGAGTGAACTCTCTACTCATAAACTCAGGGTGGACACCTTTGACAAAGCTCACCAAACTGTACAACATGGGTGTGTTTTTATTTAATGTAGATTTACTACATTTGTTTCTGCATGTGTAGAGGTCAGAGTTGATTCCTTCCACCACATGGAAGAGACTGAACTCAGGGTTGGTAGCAAGCTCGTTTACGCAGAGTCATCTTGCTAACCTAGTATGACTGATTTTAATTGATTGTAATACGAGTTAGTAAAAACTTATGCATTTCGAACAGTAAACAAAAAAAGTCGACCATAATGAACTCTGCCATCAACTCCCTGGGTCCCTCCTCCCTAGATTCGTTCTCCCTGGGATCCTTCTCCCTAGCTTTCTGCAGGCCCTTCATGAGGATTATAAAGCCTTCCTATGTGCACAGAACTTGGAACTGGCCAGAAGAAAAGCTACAAACATTTAACATGTAGTGAGAAAACTTTTTTTTGGAGGGAGGGGTTGAGACAGGGTTTCTCTGTGTAGCTTTGTAGACAAGGCTGGCCTTGAAGTCAGAGATCCTCCTGCCTCTACCTCCCAAGTGCTGGGGGATTAAAGGCCTGTGCCGATGCCACTGCCCATTGAGGAGACCTTTTCTTATTTCCTCTGAAAGCATCCTTTCAAGTATGTAAGAGAGAGCCGTGGTGGCACACGCCTTTAATCTCACAACTCAGGAGGCAGAGGTAGGAGGATCTCTGAGTTTGAAGGCAACTAAGTCTACAAAGTGAACTCCATGACAGCCAGGGCTGCATGGTGAAACCCTGCCTCAAAACAACAACAAAATCTTCAAGTATATGTGGTTTCAACAATTGTTAAAATTAATTTCAACTTCCTGGGCAGAATGAAAATGAAAATGAGAGGAAGTCGGCCCAAGAATAGCTAAAAACCAGACTCCTCCTAAGCATTGTGGGGAAAGTCTGACTTCCTACCTCTGAAGATACAAGTCAAATAGGAAGTCAGGAGGAGCTGGAAGGTGGTGACCCATGCCTTTGATGCCATACTCTGGAGGCAAAGGCAGTTGGGTCTCTGTGAGTTTGAGGTCAGCCTGGTCTACAGAGCAAGTTCTAGGGCAGCCAGGAAACTCTGTCTCTGAAAAGAAAACAACAAAAAACAAACAAACAAACAAAAACCAAACAGCAACAAAAGCAAAGTCAGGGAGAAAGGATAGCAGAAGGCTTTCCCGGGAGCAGAAGGCTCTCCCCGGATAGCAGAAGGAAGTCCTGGGAAGCTTTCTGTTACTAACTCACTTGATTATTTCTCCCCCTGGCACCCCACTCCACGCACTAGAAGGGAAAGGCAGGAATCCAGGAACTATGCCCAGAAAAAGGCCCCAGGGGTCTATGAGACAAAGGTAAGCATGCATTAAATGAAAGGGCAGGTCTGGAAATTGTATTTGACTCTCTGCTCCAGCCCTGCCAGTCTTCCTGGAAATGACGTGTCCTGGTAAATTCAGTAATGGCTCAGGCTACTCAATCACCATGGAAGAATAAGCGCCAGTTCTTCCAGAGGTCCTTGGGGGAAGAAGACAGCTCCGCTCGCTGCCTCAAGAACAAAGCCATCTCTCCAGCAGCGTTCCGAGGTAGGAAAGTCCCGAACTTACCAGAAGAGTATCCGTAAAATATTGGCCACCAGTAACACCAGGCACACGTGAGTGGAGAAACCGTCGGCGTTCTGAGTCCTCCGGATGTCCCTGTACTGGGGGATGTATGGCACCACCCCTCCGAAGACCATAGCCCCGGCGGCCACCCAGGAAACCAGCTGGTGCAGCGGGACCAGAAGCCAACCCAAGCCTTCCGCTTCCATCGCCAGCACCGAGGTCGCTATGCCAGCCAGAGCCGTCCACCTGGTCCAAGCTCCTTTGCGATCCCTGAGTCCACAGGCTGTCACCTCCACATGGCCGCCACTATCCTGCGCAGTCAGCCACCATCCCGACCTGGAAGGGGGAACAAGGGTAAAATACTGACAGGAGCTGGAGCAAGACGCACCTGTTCCGGACCTGGAGTCTACGCAGGGCCTGGGAACCTTGTGCTCCACACCCACAGCCTCGGAAGCCCAGGCTCCCAGGGGCGCGCCGCAGGGGTTCCCGGCACAGCCAGGACCGGTCCTGCGCCCTGGAAGCCTGGGGAGCTGGAGATGCGCGCCTGGTCCTCTGTTCGCCTCCCCGAGACTAGGAATGCACGCCACCGGCTTAGGGGAAGGAAGGGGTGCACCGCCCCAGAGCGAAAGCCGCGGGAGTGACACCGCCCCAAAACGGGTTCAGCTAGTGGGGGAGGGGTGGACGCGTGGCCCAGCGGGAAGCATAGCAACCTGGATCCCGAGTCCTCAGGTTCCCCTGGGAGGCTCCGCCCGACAGCAAATAGCAACCAAAGTGTAGCAAATCCACGACCCTTACCAGCCACGCCGCGCCAGTCGGTCCTTCTGTCCCTCAGTCCCAGCCAGAGGAAGCCCCGCCCCTTGACGTCACAATGGCCACCACGCCCACTCCAGGATCCCGCGGCTATCCCACTGGGTCCTAAAGCGCGCACTGCGGGGTGGGACCAAAGTGGCAGCGGGCACTCAGCTGTGTTCTGCTGTGTGTCCCAGATTAGGAAAAATCTACAGGGAGGCGTTTTCAGGCCAAGTGTCCACGTGTACTTGTCTCCAGCTAACGCCGCGCGCTGGGCACAATGTAGATGTAATGCCGAGCTACTAACAGCTGAGGATGAGACACTGAATGTTGAAAAAAGGACTGTCACGGTGGCCAGTTCTAGGCCTAGGGCTCCACCCTCCCCTGAATTCCAGGGGTCTTTGAAAGCCACTAAGCAAGCTTACGAGGGGCTGGCAGCCCTTGCCCAGGATCGGAGCTTGGAGCTACTTACTACCCCAGGCGACTGCAGGGCTGGCGTCAGCACGCTACAGTTGCTGATCCTCCTTCATATGAGAGGTCATTCATGCTCCGGGTGCTCATTTACAGGAAAAGACATCGGAATTCCCAAATACATCCCTGACATCAGACGGACCCTAGTAGGCTGGGCAAGCTGAACCAGAAGAACCTGTTGCCCTGCCTGTCAGTAGGGACCTATGCAATGAGGCGCCAAATGAGAGGGTGACAATAAACAATAGAAAATGTATATCCAAGTCTGTCTGGCGTCCTTCTTCTGCCCAGGAGAGAGAACATGAGCAGGGCAGTCCTCGCCCCGCCCCCAGACTACAACTGACCCCTTCCCATTTCACGGGGTGTTGCTCTTCCCTCCACCAGGTCTGGCCCTGTTTCCCAGCTGGTTCGTTTTGTGGGAAATCATTGTAAGACTCACCTATGATCAATTCCAAAGAAGTCTGATTGTCCAGGGGCCAAGAAAACACGGGAAGCGCTCCCCCGCCCCAGCCACTTCCTGAATCAACACACTTAAACCAGGAAGGAACAGGAGGGAGATGAATAAACAGAAGGAAGCCATGGCAGGGCTGGGTGGGGGGGAAGTTGGTGTTCCCATTTAGTGCATGCCCAACCCCGAGGCTCCCAAAGTCTGTGGGATTCTATTGCCTCTCCTTGACTCTCATGATGCATGTAAGGGGTCACATACAGTCACGTTGCTTGTCCTGAATATTCCAGAGACTGTCGACACACAAATGGGGACTTACTGCTCAGCTGTGCCAGAGGAACCTCCAGGAGCCCAGATAAGTGCGCACCATCTTGCATTCTGGTCCAGGACTGCACATCATGGTCTCAGGTGAGGCAAATTCCATCTGTAGATCTAGCTGTAGGTGCTTTTTAACATCACCTTATTTAGGTTCTGAGCCCTTGGTCTAGAGTATCAGTGGAAGGACAGACATTCATTTCTTCCCAGGTGCCCCACAGCACCCGAATCCCCCATTCCCAAGGAAGGAAGCCAATGGAGCAGTGCAGTTTGAGGTTGAAGAATGGCCTCCAGTGATGGTTCTGACAGTTGTATGACCTAATGTGTGTGTGGGGGGAGGGTGATCTTGCTTTTGCAGATGTGATTTAGTTAAGCATCTTGAACTGGGCCCACTCAAGGTTGGGAAGTCTCCAGGGGTCCTTTTAGTACAATCTCATGCACCTTCACAGGAAGGGACAGACTTAAGGATGCGCAGAAGAGAAGGCCTAAGAAGATGGAGAAGAGAGAGCGCTCACAATGCAGCCTTGAAAGCAGAGCTGAGCCAAAGCTAGTCTGTGAGCCCAGGGTTTGGGAGGTTGCTGTAACTCAACACTGCGTTAAAAAGCATGCATTACAAAGACATTTCAACCATTTTAGAATAAATGAAAATACACTTAAATCTGCACACAAATAGTTACCTCCAAAAGAGTTCTTTTACAAAATTTTAGTGATAATTTTCAATAATACAGAGGGCAGAGTAGAGGAGGAAATATGGGGAGGGATAACTAACCCCCCAAAAAAGAAAAGTCATATGGGAACCTACTAGAGTATAGAAGCTTCCCAAAAGATATTTATCTATAGAAGTTTAAATAGTTACCCTATAATGGGGGTTCAAGATCCCAACTAGACTAACAAATAAGACTTTTTTTTTTTTGGTTTTTTGAGACAGGGTTTCTCTGTGGCTTTGGAGGCTGTCATAGAACTAGCTCTTGTAGACCAGGCTGGCCTCGAACTCACAGAGATCCTCCTGCCTCTGCCTCCTGAGTGCTGGGATTAAAGGCATGCGCCACCAACGCCCAGCTCAAATAAAACTCTTAACTACCAGGAATTTGCTTTTCTGAGTTGTTGGCCAATGTGGTCCAAGCTATTGCCAATCTATTGGTTATTCCCCAGAACTTGATAGTAAGATACCACAATCTCATGTCACGGAACGTGAAGAAATCTAGCTGGTGGAAGCTTTGACCCTACTAGCTAGTACTCACAGTGCTGTGAAATCTTGCAAGCTACAGAAAGGACCTGCAAGTCCGGACATACACACAGGTGCAACAGTGACATGAATGTCAGAGTATTCAAAATTCATTAGTATTTGAAAGGGAGGTCGACCCCTCAGAATCATACCTGACACCAAATTCTCGGCACAAAGGAGGCAAGGGGGGTTGGGGATACTGAAAAGACAGCAGCAGCCGCAGCAGCAGTAGCAGCAGCTAACACAAGCAGCAGCCAAGAAAAGCCAGACAGCAAGAGGAGCAAGAGGGTGTTCTTCAGAAATGGGTCTTTAACGGACAGGGGAAGTCTGTGCTAGGGTAAGTTGGTAAACCCTGATTGGACTTATTAGCCAAATAGTGAATTTTGATTGTTGGACCTTGGAGTTCTGTCTCAGAACTCCAAATAAGGGAATAGACCTTGGGGCTAGCCTTAGGCATGTAAAGGTTTGTAGCAAGGGAAAAGAGGTAAAGGGGGAAAACCTGTCTGTAATGTTTACCAGCTAGGGCCTGTGAGAGCCCTAGCCTTAGGGAAGACTGCAGATCACTTCCCTTTGGAGTGGTTTGACCAGGAACAAGCCCAGAAGTTACTTCTCCACTTCTCTCCCCATGACTTCCATTGCTCTCCTGCCTGGAGTCATATGAATCTGAAGCTGTGCCTGCATGAATGCTGTCTTGTGAATCCATGTGTGTATCTGTGACTGTGTAACAAAGGGCTTCTACTCTGGAACTATCTTTTGCACAGAAAGAATTACATGGGAAATGAATGAGATACTTTGCAGAAATAATTTTTTTAGTTTTACTTTAGTTTTTTGTTTTGTGTGTAGTTACATAAAACTCAAAAAAATGCCTGTGTATATGTCTATGAACATGTATGTGTAGTACCTGAGGAGTCCAGACAAAGGTACTTGATCCCCTTAATACTGGAAATTACAGGCAGTAGTGAGCCACCACGTAGGCACTAGGAATTTAACCTGAGTCCTCTGGAAGAACAATCAGTGCTCTTAACCAATGAGTCATCTCTTGTGGAATTTTCCTTTATACTATATAAATATATATATCACTGTGATTGGTTTAATAAAGAAGCTAGCTGGCCAATAACTGGACAGGATAAGGTTAGGCAGCAGATGCAGCCTAAGGACACTGGGAAGAAGGGTGGAGTCAAAGGAGTTGAGCTGGATGGAGAGGAAACATGAGATGCAAGATGAAAGAGAGGTAACACCCCGTGGAAGAATGTAGATTACTATAAGTGGGTTAATTTAAGTTGTAAAAGCTAGTCAGTAATAAGCCTGAGCTATCGGCTGAGTATTTATAATTAAGTCTCTGAGTGGTTATTTGGAAGTGGTCGGCTGAACAGAACAGATGGCAGTTCCAATAAAAAAAAACTCTGTCTACAATCTCTAGCCCACTTATCAGAAGTCTTTAATGGGGTTTTACAAGGAATGAAGTTTTACTGACCCAGGTAACAAGCTATCTGTATGCTGTTTCCAGCATTGATGGATATTTATCATATTAGGTTGCTACAACATATTGCTGCTTCCAGTGCTTTTTACTGCAACACATGTATATAACACACACATGCATTATTCTGGGCGAAGGACATGAAGGGCATAATTTAAGATTAAAGCTAGGCAGTGCTGATGTACCCCTTTATCCCAGCACTTAAGAGGCAGAGGCAGGTGGATCTCTGTGACTTCCAGGCCAGCCTGGTCTACAGAGTGAGATCCAGGACACCCAGAGCTACACAATGAAACCTGTCTTCAAAAACAAAGGAAACAAAGATTAAAGCTCAACCGGGCATTGGTGGCCCACACCTTTAATCCCAGCACTTGGGAGGCAGTGGCAGGCGGATCTTTGTGAGTTTGAGGCCAGCCTGGTCTACAAGAGTTAGTTCCAGGACAGCATCCAAAGCCAGAAAGAAACCCTGTCTCGAAAAACCAAAAGAAAAAAATTAAAGCTATTGTTTAGCTTAGATTACATGAAAAATCCTGGGCAAGTGAGTTTGGTTGTTACATTGTTCTCTTAAAGGCAGGTGTGGTATGGTTGTTTGAATAAAATGCTCAGAAGTAGCGCTATTTGGAGATGTGGCCTTTGTTGGAGTAGGTGTGGGTGTGATCTTGTTGGAGGAAGTGAGTCACCAGGGGTGTGGGCCTTGAGATCTCAGACCCTCAAGCCTGCCTGGCCCGTGTGTCACCATCTTTTCCTGCTGTCCACAGATTTAAATATGGAACTCTCTGCAAGTTCCAGGCCAGCCTGGTCTACAGAGCAAGTTCCAGGACAGCCTCCAAAGCCACAGAGAAACCCTGTCTCAAAAACAAAAACAAAAACAAAACAAAACAAAAGGCCTTGGGCTTGTCTCTCCAGAAGTATCTCCTTTTCCTCCTTGAAGTGGCTCTAGTGAGTCCCAGGCTTTGAATCTGTGGTGTGCTTCTGATAGAGCACCCTGAGTTAGACTTTAGGTCTCCAGATATCCTACAGTTGTCTGCAAAGAAAAGTCAGCTACACAGGCTGACTCAGGCTATATAAGCTGATGGGAGCCAGGAAGGGCCAGCTGTCACCCCACACACACACTTGTCTTAGTTAGGGTTTCTATTGCTGTGAAGCTACACCATAACCGTGGCCTCTTATAAAGGAAAACACTTAACTGTGGTGGTTCACTTACAGTTACAGAGGTCCCATCCGTTATCGTCACGGTAGGAAGCAAGGCAGCATGCAGGCAGACATGGTGCTGGAGAAGGAGCTGAGACCTACATCTTGACCCAAGGGCAACAGGAAGTGGTCTGGAACACTGGGCATGGCTTGAGCACATATGAGCCCTCAAAGCCCACCTCCACAGGCACACACTTCCTCCAACCAGGTCATACCTACTCCAACAAAGCCACACCTTCCTAATAGGGCCACGCCCTTTGGGGACCATTTTCATTCAGGCCACCACACTACTCTTGGAGTGCAGCCAGTACCAGTCACAGCAGTTTCTGTCTCAGTCCCTTTCAGGGGAAGAAAATTAGACAAAGACATTAAAATGTCTCAGTCACTGTTTAATCGCTATGAAGAGACACCATGGCCAAGGCAGCTCTTACAAAAGAAAGCATGCCCGGAGTTGGTGGCGCACGCCTTTAATCCCAGCACTCCGGAGGCAGAGGCAGGCGGATCTCTGTGAGTTCAAGGCCAGCCTGAACTGCAGAGCGAGATCCAGGACAGCCTCCAAAGCAATACAGAGAAACCCTGTCTCAAAAAAAACAAAAACAAAAACAAAAAACCTTGCTTACAGTTTCAGAGCGTTGACCCACTACCATCATGGTGGGGAGCATGGTGGCACACACAGCCCTGGAGAAGTGGCTGGGAGCTACATCCTGTCTGTTGGTGGAGGGGGAGAGGAGTGAAGGGGAAGACTGGGCCTGACACCGACTGACACGGACTTTTGAAACCTGGAAGCCCACCTCCCAGGGACACACCTCCTCCAACAAGGCCACACCCCATAAGCCTTCTAATCCTTTTTTTTTTTTTTTTGGTTTTTCGAGACAGGGTTTCTCTGTGGCTTTGGAGGCTGTCCTGGAACTCGCTTGGTAGTCCAGGCTGGTCTCAAACTCACAGAGATCCGCCTGCCTCTGCCTCCTGAGTGCTGGGATTAAAGGCGTGCGCCACCAACGCCCGGCTCTTCTTATCCTTTTAAAGAGCTCCACTCCCCGGTGAGTAAGCATTTAAATACCATGAGCCTATGGTGGCCATTTTTTAAATTAATTTATTTATTATGATACAACATCCTGCCTCCATGTATGTCTGCATGCCAGAAAAGGGCTCCTGATCTCATTACGGATGGTTGTGAGCCACCATGTGGTTGCTGGGAATTGAACTCAGGACCTCTGGAAGAGCAGTCAGTGCTCTTAACCTCTGAGCTATCTCTCCAGCCCTGTGGGGGTCATTCTTATTCAAACCACCACAGGCCCAAAAGGTAAACTCCGTACTTTTAAAATTTATCATTTAAACACATTCATTGATATATATACTTCACATAATGTGAAATCCTCTCAAGTAATCCAATGTTTTTTAGTATATACACAAATTGGGCAGCCATTACTGCAATCTAATGTCAGGAAATTTGCTCTTCAAGAAGGAATCCCTTGGGCCTGGAGAGATGCTTTTCCACAGGTTCTGAGTTCAATTCCCAACAACTACATAGTGGCTCACAACCATCTGTGATGAGATCTGGTGCCCTCTTCTGGCCTGGAGGCATACATGCAGACAGAACACAGTCCAGGCATACATGCAGACCGAACACTGTATATATAACAAGTAAATAAATCTTAAAAATAAAAAAGGAATCCCTTACTTATGAAGCAGCCTCCCCCCCCTTTGCCTCTTCACACTAAGCAACCACTGAGGTACTGTCTCTGTGGCATGTTCCGTCAGCAACTGATGTTTCTTATAATGGAGTCATTTAACAGGTCTTCCTTTGATGTTTTTGAAGTTCATTTGTGTTGCATGTACCAGCATTACACTCCTTTGGTTTTTGAATTGTATTCAGATGTGCACATCCCTGATCTGTTTGTCAATCAGGTTGTTTCCTCTTTGACTGTTGTGATGAGTGAGGACTTCTATAAAAGGTGTGCATGTTTCTGTGCTATAAAAGGTGTGCATGTTTCTGTGCTATAAAAGGTGTGCATGTTTCTGTGCTATGGAAGGTGTGCATGTTTCTGTGCTATAAAAGGTGTGCATGTTTCTGTGCTATAAAAGGTGTGCATGTTTCTGTGCTATGGAAGGTGTGCATGTTTCTGTGTGGGTGTGTGCTGCTGTTCTTACACACACCTAGGAATGGAATGTAGTTATGTGGTGAATCTTGTTTACCTATGTTTTCCAAAAAGGCTGCACGATTCTGCATTTCTCCTGGCATCTCCATGGGTATGAAGCAGGGGCTCATCGTGGGTGCTGGTAACTAATGGTTTTGGGTACTTTTTCCTGTAAAGCTGTGTTCTGTTTAAATTTTAAAATTTTATTTACTTTTATGAGTAGAATTGTTTTGGTGCTTGTAAGCACACTGTGTACATGCAATGCCTGTGGAGGCCAGGAGAGGGCAGTAGATCTCCTGAAACTGGAGTTAACACACAGTTGAGCTGCGGTTCTGGGAACCAAATCCTAGTCCTCCAGAAAAGCAGCAAGTGCCCTTAACCAGTGAACCATCTCCAGCTGCACTGGACTGCTCCATCTATTTAAACACATACAGCACACTGGCATCCATGTGTTGTCTCTGTACTGGGCTCTAGAGGTATCAAGGTGGCCTAAATAGACACTGTCTGATCATCCTTTCAACCTTCAGCCCGAGGAGTGAACACACACACACCAAAAAAAAAAAAAAAAAAAAAAAAAGGAAATCACCCACAAGGTGACCACAACTCAGATCTAGAGGAGTCCTGAGATTTTGTTTCCAGACCCACAGTGAATCTGACTTGAACATCAGTGAAGAGGCTCCACCCTGGATCTGACATCTTTAGATCTTCAGGAATGACAGATTTAAGTAACAGATTCATTTTTTTTTTTTTTTTTAGCGTGGTGTGCCATTGGCTGCTGGCAGCTGCGGGGTCCCCGGTAAGAGGCGGCACGCCGTATGAAAGTTTGTACCTAGACAACAGCTAAGCAGGGTGTGGGATCAGAAGAGGGGAGGACCACTTGCTGTTTGATGGGCACTGAGTACCAGTGTGAGTCCAGAAGCTCCGGAGATGGAGGGGTAGGGTGGGAGTGTTTAATGCATTGCAGTGTGCATTCAGAAGTGGTTAAGGTGCTCACTATCTATCCTGTCGCGTTTACTTTGCCACAGTAACAAGAATGAATAAGTACCACAGAGGCCGGGCACTGGTGGCGCACACCTTTAATCCCAGCACTGGGGAGGCAGAAGCAGGCGGATCTCTGAATTCGAAGTCAGCCTGGTCTACAGAGCGAGTGCCAGGACAGACTCTAAACTCTACACAGAGAAAAAAAAAAAAAAAAAGTACCGACAGAGTTCCTCCCAGGTCACCTCTGAAGGATGAAAATACGCAGCAAAGCCGGATTGGCCGGCTGCTGGTCCAGTCCACACCTGCCCCAGCGCTCTCGCTCTCTCCGGGTTAGACAGTGCTCAGCACGAAACGCGACACCTTCTGGGTCCACCCCAGACCCGGGACCCCAGACTGCTACGCCAGTGCGGATGGACACCCGCGCGCCGGAAGTCCCTTGCGGGAACGTGCTGCAGAACGCGGTGAGTGACGCGTGCCCCAGTGCTCCGTGGACCGAGGTCGCCCCGCTTTAGGGTCCTGGAAGGGATCAAGGCCACAGTCCTAGGAGTGCTGTGGAACAGGAGTCGTGAGCCAAAGAGGTAGATGACGGACGCTGGGCGTCTGGGGATGAAACTTGTCCTTACAGAGCCCGGATCCTTGTCCCATACTTTACTCAGCCTCTCCCCTCCCCCACTTCAGTCCTGTCCTATGTCCCTAGCCAGGTGTCTATCAGAGTCCCTTTCCCTTCCTCCAGGTCCCGCCTGCAAGTCCCAGATCCCGCCCACCCCGCCTTTGCCTCCTAAAGGCTCCGCCTCAAGCTCCAGTCCCGCCCCATTCCTTCTCCTCCTGGTGTCTTCTTTGGTCCTTGCCCACCTGTCTCCATGGCGGGTCCTTATGCTTGCCCCATTTAAAAGAAGAACCAGCTAGAATTCACTTCGTCTACATTCTCCTGAAAGGCCGCCTGCCACAAGGAACCTGTACAGAAGAGCGCAGGGTCCCGGGTCCAGGAGCTGCGCTTCCCTCAGTAGGACGGGCACCAAAGGTGTTGGGACAAGGATCACACACAAGGGAGACTCACACAGGATGTGTGGACTATAAAGTATCAAACAAACCGAAAGCCTGACCGTCACCACAGTGGCGTTTCGAAAGCTGACCGTCACCACAGTGGCGTTTCGAAAGCCTGACAGTCACCACAGTGGCGTTTCTGTACGCATTGTGCTATACACTGTTAAATGGCCAAAGCACACAAAGGGCCCCCTGGCCTTTGAGTCCCTAGACTGACTGTTTCCTGTGCTAACATCTACAATGAGACCACTTACATCTCTGCTTTCATGCTTTAGATCGTGTCCCAGTGCTTGTGCTGGCGCAGGTCTGTAACCCCGGGGTTGGAGAGCTGAGGCAGGAGGATCTGAGTTCCAGGTCAGCCTGAGGCACATAAGCAGACCGTGCCTCAAAAAACCAAACAAGTGCCCTGTGCCTTGGGGGATAACTTATATTCCCAACACTGGGAGGCAGAAGGAGATCACTGAAGCTAAGCAGTGGTGGCACAGGCCTTTATCCCAGCATTTGGGAGGTAGAGGCAGGGGATCTCTGTGAGTTCGAGGCCAGCCTGATCTGCAGAGTGAGTTTCACAGAGAAACCCTGTCTTTTAAAAAAAAAAGAAAGAAAGAAAGAAAGAAGGAGCTCACTGAAGTTGGAAGCCAGCTAGGTCCATGCATCGAGTTCCAGTCCAGCCAGGATTATATAGGGAGGCCGTGTCTGAAACAACAGTAATAACAAAACAGTCAATGGGCATGTATGTCTAGGTACTCTGATATTTTCAATGCCCTACACTAATAATAAGTGCCTTTTCAGTTACCTAAGGTTCATTTTCAGGCAGAAAATCTACTTCAGGAGCTTGAGGAACACTTCCGAGCTCTGACTACAACATTAAACCTCAGAGATATCCTTTACTGGTCGTACTAAATGCTATAAAGCTGTTGGGGTGTTTGACTGCATCGGGGTAGCGTCTTGTTCTCTGATAATAGTGCATAATGGCTCACACATGATTCCCCGGTGCTTACATCTGTGCTTCTGTGTGGCATCTGGGTGTATTAAATACCGTCCGCTCGTGGCAGGCTTTGCTTCCTGGTTGACTGGCAATGCAGGGCATGAAGAACTAGTAGAGAACTCAGGGAGCAGATGCACATCTCCGGCTGAGGGGTTGCCCTGCAAGCCTGCCTGAGCCCATCTGGTCTGCAGCACAGGCTCTACAGCAAAGGGTAAACCCTCTGAGACAGCAGTGTTGATGGCCTCCAGCGCGGAAGGCCATTCCTGGGACAAACCTTCAATTTGACTGGAACAAGCAAGTCATCGTTGAATGAAATCAGTTAGAATTGAATGTTCAGGCCCAACTCCTCATGTCGGTGAACCTCCTCATATTTAGAATGGCCAGCTGGGACTGGGCAAGTGTCTAAGGCACCTGCTTAAACTGGTTCTGTGACAGTTTTACCTGTGAGTTCACTAGGATATAGTTATTTTATTTTATTTAAAAATAAAATAGTTTTTAAAAAATAAAATAAAATAGTTTACAGTTTGTGTAAATCTAGGTTAACATCTGCCTAAAACTTGTCCAATCTAAGGAGTTGTTTTTTAAACATGGTGTCTCACAACCATCTGTAACTCAGTTTCAGGGGATTTACATCCCTTGCTGGTCTCATCAGGCACCAGGCATGTCTGTGGTGAACACACATACACACAGGCAAAGCACTCATACACAGAAAATAAATAAATCTTAAATAACAAATTGAGTCAGCCTGTAAGAGCTTGCTGCCAAGCCCTAGTTCCGTTCATGCAATCCAGCCTGAAAAGAGAGAACTACTTCAGAAAGTTGTCCCTGACCTTCAAACCTGTGTCATTGTACACACAGACATACACACAGAACACTCACATACTCTCTGTCTCTCAGTCTTTCTGTCTCTCTGTCTATCTCTCTGTCTCTCTCTCTGTCTCTCTCTCTCTCTCACACACACACACACACACACACCACTCAAGTACACACACTAAATACTTTTTAAAAAATAAACCACCAAGAAGTTATTTTTTAAAAAAGCTAATTTCCATCACGTTTGGCTAACGCTTACCAAACTCAGGCCCTGAAGTCTAGCACAAGCTGGGGGAGCTGTTTTCAAAACTTAGTCCACAGCTGAAGGGTAAAGACAATGTGCTAAGAAAAGCTGAGGGACAGGAAATTGCACTGACTTTGGACAGCCTGACTTTCTCACTGTGACAGCCGCTCCACAACAGGGACCTCCGCAGAGCAGATGCAGGTTAAAGCAGGGTCCTTCCATGATTCGGGCTAATTGGACCATGCATGCCATTCTCCTTGACATTGTACTGGAAGAAATGGGAAATCGCATTGAGGACTTACAGAAAAACGTTGATGACCTAATGGTTCAAGCTGGAATCGAGAACTCGATCAAAGAGCAAACGGTAAGGCCGTGATTTAGGCATATCCTTTTGTGTATCTCGACTTCTTTCACCACTGTGAATTACTGTCCCTGTGTTACATGTACAGTCTTCGGTCCTAGTGAGAGGCACTTCCATGTGCTCTTTTGCAACTAAGACATGCTCCTCACTCCTTAGAAGGTGCGTATTCCAAGTGAAAATTCTCAGTTAAAAATCAGATTTTATTAAAGGATTTTTCATCCTTACTCCTTAAGTCAGTTTTTAACCACAACACAAATTACAATGAATAAAAGGATGGGATTATAGCCAGCTGTTCCTGTCTGAGATGACATATTTGTTTGATCATTAAAGCTCGTTCCAGGACAGCCAGAGTTACACAAAGAAATGTTGTTTCGAAAAACAAAAACAAGACAAAAACAACAGCAACAAAAGAAGACGGATGAACACTGAGTTCTTTTTTTTTTTTTTTTTTTTGGTTTTTCGAGGCAGGGTTTCTCTGTATTGTTTTGTAGGCTGTCCTGGAACTCGCTTTGTAGACCAGGCTGCTCTCGAACTCACAGAGATCCACCTGCCTCTGCCTCCCAAGTGCTGGGATTAAAGGCGTGAGCCACCAATGTCTGGCTCAATGAGTGTTTTTTATGTTAGTATAAAAATGGGCTTCATTTTGGCATTTACTTTTTTATTTCTAGCATGTGTGTATGTATGTATTTCTGTGTACATGCATGTATGTGAACACACACACACACACACACACACACACACACACACACACACACACACACGCGCGCGCGCGCCATGACAAGTGTGTGGAGATCAGAGGACAGACACGTTGTAGAAGCTGCCTCTCTTCTACCATGTGGCCACTAGGAATCCAACCAGCTTATCAAGGTTACCAGGCTTGGTGACAGCGATTTGACTCCTGAGCCATCTCTCTGGCCCCAATGTGGCATTGTTATACACATATAACATTCTACTTTCTTCTCGCTCACTTCTCTCCCTTGGGGAGACAGCCCCATACCCTTGCTAAAAACTCTTATATTTGATATGGTGGGGTTTTATCTGTGCTTCTAGATTGTACAGTCTTTCCCTGCATGCAGTAAATGCAGAATTTTGCATAGAAAGTCCCTGTCTCCTGTACACCAGAGGACAGTGAGTTGTGGGTGGTTGGTCACGGTGACGGGCTCCATGCTGTTCGTTAAGTCTGACTTCTGAATCCACACTGACTCTTAGCTGAAGAAAAGGAATATGTATCATTTAAGTATTTCTCTGTACTGAATTTTGCCTATATATAAATGCTTAGCAATTACTTGTAACTATGGAATTTTATTGAAGACCACTCATGAACTTGTTTAGCTGAGTGTTAGTTAATCAGAATATAAATCATGTAAATAAACCAATCTCTTTCAAAACTCTCTTTCAGACCTGAAGATGTTAAACACATCATGTGAAATTGCTAAAATGAAATCTATACTGTTTGAATAATCTGTGCAATATGAAATTTTGATGTTCAGTTTTTAGTTTAGTTTTTTTTTTTGATATTTGAAATCAAACCCAGGACCTAAAATGTAGTAGGTAAGTGGCTACCACTGAGCTATATGTTGACCCATCAAAAAGCAAAATTCATTTTAACAAAAAACAGCAATGAAAGCAATAAAATAATAACATAACTCAGAAGGTGACCATTTACCAAAGATGAGACTTATAAATAATGACAAAATATTTTTCAATACATATTTGTAAATTGTGGAAGTAAATTATACACTGTATTAGTTCACATATTTTCCAAATTAAAATTGTACATTGGTTTTTTTTAAAAAACAATCATCTGATGTAGCTGCTTTTACCTATTTTTAATTTTTATTAATTTTTATTGTTATTTTTCTTGCAATATATTTTATTATGTTATGTCCCTTTCCCTCACTCCTCTCCCTACTCACCCAATTTCTTGTTCTTTCTTGTAGTGGCTTTTATTATTTTTACTTTCGTTGAATCACTATTATGACATTTTAAGCATATGAGCCTGTGAACATTTTTTTAATTTTCTTGAGAGTTATTTTTATTCTATGTGTATAGATGTTTTGCTTGCATGTCTGCACAAACATGTGTGCAAGGTTTGGAAGAGGATGTTGGATCCCATGGAACTCGAGTTAAAGATAGTTGCTGGCTGCCATGTGGGTGCTAGGAATCTAATCTAGGTCCTCTGGAAGAGCAATTAATGCTCTTTTTTTTTTAAATCTATTTATTATGTATACAGTGTTCTGCCTTCATGCAGGCCAGAAGAGGGGGCATGAGAGAGAGATATCATTATAGATGTGGTGGCTGGGAATTGAACTCAGGACCTCTAGGAAGAGCAGTCAGTGCTCTTAACCTCTGAGCCATCTCTCCATCTCCTAATTAGTGCTCTTCCGCCACTCTACAGCCCCATATGTATCTGCTTTTAAATAACTATTCTAGCTCTCTGCTGCTAGACATTCAATTTAACACAACCAAGCTAAGGAAGCTCAGCACCAGCTATTCTACAAAATGAAGACCCCAGACCCCAGACCCCAGCCAAATCAACACGTAGGAACTAGCAAAGCCATCTTCTCCACCTCAAAACCCTGTTCTATAGCAACCAGGCTGTCCTTCATCTCTCACCCCCAAGGAATCGCTGAAGGATAGAACAAGGTCAAGATAATTTGGCAGGCTATCGAGTCTTTGGAATAGTCACTCAAACCAATGTAAAATAGCTATTGTCATCTAAAGGTCTCTCGCTTATAAAAGGATATTCCTACATAACATAAACTTAAGATCACCCCAGTTCTACCACCAATTGGCCACTGATGACACTCGTCCTATGGAGTTTAATATGTTCAATCAGTTACGTATAATCTAATAGCCTATTATTCCCTTTACCACTCATAACATTGTCCCATTTGAAAGTTTCACAATTTTCCCCCCAGTGGCCACCTGATGTTTCAGTACATGGCAATAATCATCTAGGCAACTAAAAGGTTACTAGCTCTTGGGCCTTGAGATCATTACTCCTTCTCATGATATTATTAATAATGCCATTGTGATAAATTACCCACAAGCCCCTTGCACATTTCTGCAAATTCAACTAAATCCACGGCATTCAGCCAAACACACCTAAGAAAGGAAGGACCAGCCAATGTTCCCATTGATAATAGACGTCTTTTGATCCTAAAAGGTGTGCCTTTCAATGGATCGTTCAAGTTTGATGGCCTTGGTGGTTTGAAATCTTGGTAGTGCTGTTGGACTATGCTAAATTTCAAAGCATCTTAGCCATAATTGTAAGTTTAGCAGTCTTCGTGGATATTTGAAGTCAGATCTGAGACCTCAACATCAGAGTCATGAAAACTAGATGGTGGCACATGCCAGCAATCCCTGTGATAGGGGAGCTGAGGCAGGAAGACCATGAGTTTGAGGCCACCCTTGGCTCTATAACCAATACCTGCAAAACAACAAGCAAAACCCCCATCGATAGAGATTACATACTCCGTGTTCAAGAAGTGAGTTCTCCTTGGCCTTCTATGAGCCCCTGCGTGTTCATCCATCTTATTTTCCTTTCCCTGCCTTTGACTTTAATTAAAATGAATGGCTCGTGGGGAATTAAAGCAGGGACAGGCAGATCTCTGTCAGTCTGAGCTTAGTCATTCCAGGCCAACCAGGGCTGCAGGGTTAGATCCTGTTCCAAAAGCAACCACAAAAGCCTAATTTTTATGTTTTAGCCAGTTGAATTTTTAATGTACTGATGGGCTCACACCCCCATGCTTTAATTTTTGGCTGTGCTCTGTGTGTAGTGCTGTACCTGTCATGCTTTCTCTGTGCTTCCAGAGGAGTCAGGAACTGCCTGCCTCAGGGTTCCCAAAGGGTGAACACAGTGTGTTCATGTGTTAAGTCATGTCTTGCATGTTCTAAGACTGCACAGGCAGTCTACAGCCTTCTGCACCTTGCTGTTTGCTGTACTGGGCTCATCAGGGAAACTGGGCATGGGCTCTGCAAGCCACTGAACTATTTCGCTTCTCTTCTCTGTGCCTGGTGCATTTCTCAATAGCGCTGCAATGAGGGGGCCTCGTGTGTACACCGGTGAAGCTGTGTATCTCTACAAACTTGATTCTATCCTCCTTCTGAGCCCCCTGGGTTTACTTCGAGGCTTACTCTTTTCTGGCTTGAGTAATTCCCGGACATTGCCTAAAGGGCATCCTGGAATTTTTGGAGGTCTCAAGATACTGAGAGACCCACCACCACCTGGTTTCAGCTGCATCCAAGCAGGACCGCAAGATCAAACCTACTATTCTGCAGTCCCGGAGCACCAATGAGGATGCTCCCAAGTGAGAGCCAACTGAACATAACTTCTGTATCTGTGATGGTCTGAATGTTTACATCCCCACAGCTGGTATGTTTGGACGCTGACCCCAGTGCAGCTGCATCTAGAGAGAAAGCCTCTAAGGAAGTAATTAAGGGTAAATGAGGTCACACGGGAAATGAGGTCACTAGGGCAGCACCCTGATCCAATAGGCCTGATAGCCTCATAAGAGACAAGCTTGCTCTTTCTCTGTGTGCACACTAAGGACAGACCATGAGGACATAGGGAGAAGGCTGTCCTCTGCAAGCCAGTGCCCTGAAGCCGAGCTGTCAGTCTGTTGTTGATTCAGTTAGGACTGTGCAAGCAGACCGATAAGAGGCATACGACGAACAAGGAACGTGGAATGCAAACTGTTTGCTCACCTTTTCCTCAGACATCTGAAAAGCTCTTATCAATAAAGCGTAATCTAACTTCATACAATTCACCCTAATTCAGTAAACCACTATCTGACCTTACGCTCATTGTGCAGACAACATAAGTAATTCTAGAACATGTTCATAATCTCAAAGAAGTCCCGCGGCCATTTGCTATGTAACCACTTCTTACCACACCAAGTCCTGTGCAACCACTTACCGCTTTCTGTCTGAACAGACTTGCCTATCTGCACGTTGGACACCGGGCTTCCACATTTGGGCAGCTGTGGATAAAAGTTTCTGTGTGGACATTGTTCTTTTTGGGGGGCAGGGGGCATGTAGAACTATACCTAGAAATGACATGACTATAATAAAATATCATACTGAACATGCCTAACTGTTTTCCGAAGTGGCTACATCCCATTATGTCTGCCCGTAGTTTATGAAGACTACAATTCCCGCCCCCCCATATTCACCAACACTTGTTACTAACTGTTCCTATGAATCCAGCATCCCAGTGCAGGAGAAATGGAACCCATGGCTGATTCCATCTCCTTCCTGAACAGTGATGTTGAGCATTTTTATATGTTTTCTGTCATTTTCCCTTCTAGAAAAGAATGTCAGAAATAGACACAATGTCTGTTACATGCTAGGTGTTTGAGATCCTATTTTTTTAGCTAGCTCCTTATAATACTAAGATGTAGTTTTACTCATTTTTTACTTTTTGAGAATTTGGTATTTTAGCTGACTAGCCTTGAACTCGTTCCTCCTGTTTCCATCTCTCGAGTATTGTGACCGCACACATGTGCCACCATGCCCGACTTTATAACATGTATTTCTTTATCATTTATTCTTAGTTAGCAGCTATTTTCCATCCACTTTACACTTTGCTTAAGTGCCTGGAGAAGAAGCTAATTGTGGTAATTTAGTTTCTAGAAGTAAATTATCTTGTTTCTCTGGATTCTGCTGGGAAAGATACTTATTGATCACCTAACATTTTTAACAATGTGCTAATCCAGTGGTTCTTAACCTGTGGGTCTTGACCCCTTTGGAGATTAAACTACCCTTTCCCAGGGGTCGCCTAAGACAACCAGAAAACACAGATATTTATGATTCATAACAGTAGCAAAATTAACAACAAAAATAATTTCATGTTTGGTATCAGCACAACATGAGGAAAATGTATTAAAGGATTGCAGCGTTAGGAAGGTTAAGAACCATGGCACTAATCCCTAGCAGTGGTCATCTATGGGCTAAAAAAAGCAACTCCTCACCCTCTGTATGGGCCCCCACCTTTCTGGACTGTAACCACCCCAGCTTGCAAGCACTGTGGGTTTTGGCTCTAAGAGATCCCCCTCTGAGGGTCCCCACCCCAAAGAAAAGGACCGCACCGTTTTACGTTGCTTGTTCTTGTCTGCCTTCTGCTTTGCTGACCTTTCAGCAACCATTTGGCAATTGTTTGAATCCATTCAGTGGCTGAACGGTGGGGGCTGACGTGCAGGCCTCAGTGGTTCAGGCACAGGACACATGGATATCTTTGGACCAGTCTGCTGCCTCTGGCTGAACAGCAGTGAACTCAGGCACTGGCACAGTTCACTCATACTGAAATCCCGCCTGGGTCACAGCCATCTCAGGAGTAGCTTGCTCTTCCTTCTCCATCTCCTCGGGATCGCCATTGACATCCCGAGGTGCTCATGGGCCGTAGCTAGCATGGTAGATCATTGAGTGAGCTCCCATGCTGCATGGAATGGTAATGTCTACAAAGCGCAGAGGAACATCTGTAGTTACAGAGATACGGTAGGCAGGATGACATGAAACGCCTCTGGGAAGGGGCTGGTGGTCAACCACCAGAAGTGGTTCCTGGAAGGTTCCTTCCATCTAGTTAGTGAAGGTTCCGGGAGTGAATGGACCAGCAATTGAAGTGTCACCTCATACAGGCCGGTTTGAGGATACCAGCAGGGATTTTAGAAGTGGCATGGCTCTAGCTCAGCAGCAGCTTTCTCCAGGTTCACACATGTATGATGTATACACCATCACTTTCCCTTTTGTGGATGTGCTGTTCCATGTGGGAAGCTAAGTTATACTACCTGATTTCCTGCCACAAAGAATTTGAGGACATTCTTCTCCACCCGCAGGAAATCAAGGGCTCCAGACAGTTTCCCTTTATGTCAGGAATCAAGAACACCTCCACATGGACCCATCACTGGGCAATGAGGAAAGCTAAACTTTTTTCCTGACAGGGTCTTACTGTATAAACCAGATGAGCAGACTGGTTTCAAAACCAGAGATGTGCCTGCTTCTGCCTCCCAAGCATGGGCCACCATGCTCAGCCACACTACTTTTTAAATGGGCAAATTAGTGCTCAAGAGTAAATTGCAGATCTGCACATGAATTTTACTTCTGCAGTGCTAGGAATTGTACATACCGCCTCTACCACTGAACTGCTTCCCAAGCCCATGTTTCAGTCCATTTGACAAGTGAGTTTATTTGTAACTGTAGGTTAGAAATTTGCTTCACTCCTGAGTTTTAACAATAAAGGATCCCTTTAGTAACAGCAGAAGGCACTGTCCATCTGCCAGGTGCCCGGTGAGTGGCCACCACTATGTTCCATGGAGACAGATGAGAAGAGGCACAGAGGCCTGTGAGTCCATGAGGAGGTGGTTGGTAAGGTCAGCTGCTCGTTGCTGGCCTTTCACTTCGGAAGACAGGTTCAGAGGGCTGACAGGGAAGAGCCAGGACCCTGCAAATCACCAGGAAAGAGAAGAAACAAGAGGAAACTGACATAGATAACGGGCCTTCCACAGGGTGGAATGAGGACCCCCACCTCCATAGAAGCATGATACAAACACAATCTGAGGGAGAGTGGGAAACTACTCGAGGGAAGGAGGCAAGCAATTACTGTGTGTGTGTGTGTGTGTGTGTGCAGATGAGCTTAGCAGACTGGCTTTGGACTTGTCATCTTCTTGTCCCAAGCTAGAGTTGTAGGAGTGCATTCTGGCTCACTGTGCTATTTTATATGCCGAGTAGGCTTAAGGCTGGATCCTGTTGTGGGTTATGTCATCCCAAAATTCATCTATTGATGTTTTAAACCCAGTATCTCAGACCATGACTTTATTTGGAGTGGTTATCATATGTAATTAGTCAAAATAAGGTCGTACAGAGGTGGGGTGGGCCCCTTAGGCAATGTGACTGGTGTTCTTATAAGTAGGGGGTATTAAAACAAACACTGCACATGAGGAAACAACTTGTAAAGAAAATGGCAAAGACTGGGATCAGCAAAGGATCCCAGTAACCATCAGAGCCCAGGGCTAGGACAGGCCCACAATCCCAAATGGAACCCCAGAACACTGTTACCCCAGGTTCATACCTCGAAGCCAAAACATCTTTGTCCAATCTACCCATCTGTGGTAGTTTATTCCAACAGCTCTAGCAACCACTTGAGGATGCAGAACTTGACAGCCTCATGGGACAAACACCTGGATTTCACTTCAGGAGTAAAGGCATTTACAATCAGTAAAACACACAGCAGATTCCACTGTTCCTTCACCATGTTTATTTCCTTCAGCTAGTTAAGGCCCTGTTACTCTCATCTCAAGGATCCTCCTGCCCTACAGCCATGCTCTGCTGCAGGCCCTTCCCAAAGGCTACGAAGAGCTGAGGGTTCTACAGAAGAGGCTCTCAGTGTCCTTTGCACAGCCTGTGAGGGCAGTGCTCAGTATCTGTACTTTGTAGAGTAGTCCTTGGGAGACACCACTAGACCCCGGCCTTTTCGGGCGCCACGGTACACAGTCTCTATGATGTCAACCATTTCTTGCTTGTCTTCCATGGCCCAATTGATCTTGTTGTTGTTGCCAGTGCCCAAATCAATCATGATATGTTTGTTTCTGAAAGAGAAAAGAGCAGCAATGCTCACAAGAGAATTCCGCAAGCAAGCCTGTTCTTCCTGCTGTTCTAAGCTTCTAAGCTCCTATAATGTCATCAAAAAGAGACCGCAGTCCAAAATCAAATGAAAACAAACACTAAATACTATTCCCTAGAAATGCAATGCAGCAGTCATACACTTTTCCTGCGCTCTTCTGTATTTCTTGTATACGTACACGTACACACACACACACACACAATTTTAAATTTAGATTTTTTTTTAAGAAAGAGTTTCTCAGCCGGGTGGTGGTGGTGCACGCCTTTAATCCTAGCACTCGAGAGGCAGAGGCAGGCGGATCTCTGTGAGTTCAAGGCCGGGCTGGACCAATAGCCTCCAAAACAATACAGAGAAACCCTGTCCCATAAAAACCAAAAAAAAGAGAAAGAGTTTCTCTATGTAGCTCTGACTGTCCTGGAACTCACAATATAGACCAGGCTAGCCTCAAACTCAGACATCTTCCTGCCTCTGCCTCCCAAGCTGGATTGAGGGCGTGCACCTGTGTCTTGCAATTGTACATTCCTAAGACTATAAAGGTCCACAAAAGACAGTTGTATTACTTAGAAAGACAAGTAGTTTTCCATGGTTGCACTAATTTTCCTGAAAAAGCAATGTGTAACTTTTTCATGTTTTGCTTATAGGAGCTTTGTACAGATTTTCCAAAAGTCTTGTAACTGTGAGTTCAGAATAGTGACTTGCATGACCTTGCCTGCTGTGACTGGGAAGCAAATTAACCCTTTAGTCATTTGTCTTTCAGAGGACAGGTTCCCCCACTCCCTCAGGAATCTGTATTTGCACTTTCTGAATAAAGATGTTAACTCCTGTTGACCATGAATTTTTCCAAGTTTGCTAAGATCCATTTTCATTAATTTTTCACTTCTACAGGATGACATTTGGCTTCAACTATAGTCCATGACTGGTTGGTCTGACATAATTTCTGTGTGTCAAACATTCGCTCTCAGGGTGGCATTCCATGTCCTAATCAGTTAGCCCAGGAATGGGGTGGAAACCCACATCGCCTACAGCCACAGCAGCCCTGCTGGGCAAGTACACTGAATATGACTTGTCTTACATGCCTGGCAGGTGTGTGATTTAGACAGCCTTCTTCATCAGTTGTTAGTACAAAGAGCCTAGCTTCTGTGTCCCAGGCCTAAGAGTAAAACCTGCTCTTGACACTTGCTCTAGAATTTTGGGTTGCAGAAGGAACAGGAAGGATGTCTTCTTTTCTGAGTATACCATCTGTCCTAAAGACTCAACTATGCTAACCATGTCCTGCTTTGCTTATAGGAAGGATGGTAATCTCAAGGAGTAATGGGTAAAATCCTATGGTACTTCCCTGTGACACTGTGACTACAGATGCTCTTCCTGCCTGTGACTCCTGAACGTGACACTGCACTGGAAATGGAAACTCCAGGCAGGAACCAAGCTCTTCCGAAGTTGGCTTTAAAAAGAATTGTCCAGGATTACAT